AACGTTAGAAACCGGGTTTCGGTACCCGTGTTGGGCAGAGCACAGATAGCCCATTGTGTAGCTTTGTGCATAAATTCAAACAAACTAATTTAATTGGATTATTTTCTTTGGTGTTGTAAATATTTGTTGATATTGACGATAGTAATAAGATTAATATACCTCAGTGATCGCTAGATCGTTGGACTTGGATATCCTTTAAATCATTCGAGTGCTCTTCATCATTAGAACTTATGATCCTGTTGCCATCAAACATATATCTATTATTACTTATAAGCCTCTCTCGTTGGACTTGGATATCCATTAAATCATTCAAGTGCTCTTCATCATTAGAACTTATGTTCCTGTTGCCATCAAACATATATATCTACTTATAAGCCTCTCCAACACGATATCTTCTTTCTTCTAAAGGCAGTTCTAGTATATCTTTATGTTGAACTATGAAGTTTCAACAAACAGCTTTTCTGAAAGAACTCGCGGAATTTTTATTTTGTATCTTTTAAACTAATATTTACACAAAAAAACGACAGAAAACTATATTTTATGTATTTTTTCGGGAACCGTCAGATCTGAAATATGTTTGTACATATATATATATATTCATTCACACTGCACTCTTTATATGAACATTAACCATAAAAAAACGGAAATAACTTGAAATCATTTTAATACCTCTGAGCCTAGCATTGTTTTTGACTAAATAACAGGGTGATGAATCTAAGTTTCAAATGGACAGCAACTGCCTGTTGTAGAAATCTACAAATGTAGAGGACGACGTTTCGAAAGTCTTCCACCTTTCATCTTCATACTCTGCCTAAACAACCCATCAAAGATAACAGGGTGATGTTTTGTATTTTCGACATATCTTATACATGTAGTATAGACCGTGTTTACGCAATATGAATACATTTAAAGGAAATTACAAATAACTTAAACACTTGATTTCAAAACTATTAGGGAGTTTGTCGTTTTTTCATGTCACTTCGCATGTATTGTGCAAATAACCTTGCAAGCTGTATTACACCTCACCGTATCACTTACTTAGTTCCATGAATTATCCAATATAACAACTTTGATTAGCCTAAAATTATGTGGAAAATAATCCTTGAAAATAAACGTATCTCATAGTGCGCATGCGTTCATTGTTTGTGTGAATGTATCCACAATCTAGCGTTTTAATGCTTCTGAAATATATATTTTCGTAAAAACTCAATAAATTTACCAATTTTTACAGAAGTTAAATAATATTAAATTATATTCGTTGTTAAGCGCAAAGCTACAATAGGCTATCCGTTCTGTGTCCACCACGAGTATCAAAACTCGATTCTCAGCGTTATAAGCCCTCGGAATTACTGCTGAGCCAACTTGATTTTGGAAAAAACAGTGACAATTGTGGTTTAATTTTGAAGTAACGCAAAAGTTAATTTGAAAATAATCTCCAATAATCGTAGGTTTGTCCTAAAATAGTTTATACATTAAAATCATGATACTCATTTACATCATTACTGACATATATTTGGCATGTTACCAAGATATAATGATAAAAGTTATCACTCACTACCTTCTGAGAAGATCTGAACAGCTCTATGGTTATCAGACTTTTCAAGTACAGAGTAATGAAAACTTTGTTTATTCTAACCACAGCCTTCACAGTAATTTAAATATTAAACTACTTCAATAAAACTAGACCTTAAAAACAACAACATTTCTTTGGAAATCATTTTGATTTACTTTTTTTTCTGTGTGAAGTAGCCGATCTCTTACCACCTACGTCCTCCTAGTTGGTTGTGGGAAACGATCCAGAGGTTCTATGGAGCAGGTTGATTTATGGTTGTATGTCACAATGAGCCTGGTGTTAGTTTTCGGTGTCGGAAAGAGATGAAAATGAATAAAACCTATAGATCTTCAGAGCTTATCAATTACGTCTGTTAGATAATTTGTGTAACTTCATTTGTAAACTCCTATGCAGTGTTATAATCTCATCAAGGTTATCGTATGAGTAAAAATCAACGCTGGTAATTAAATCATAAACTGTTCTAAAGTGATCAAATTTCCGCAAAACAAAAAAAGCGAAGGAAAAATCATTCTTATTTTATTTACTGGACACTATAACCGTAAAACATTTTTATTAAAACGTTATTGAAGTCTAGAATTAGCAGGCTTGTCTAATCCAGTTTTTAGCTAAAAAAAAACTTTTTTCTGATCCAGTTTAGATAAACTTATTGTTAAATATTGTGATGATAAAGGGGATTTGAAAGTTGGTTTGTATTTATTTTCCATGTGTTTCATGTTTTTGCATCAAGATAGTATAGTAATGTTAAGCCCCCTGTATTTCAATAGGTCACGTAATGTTGATAAAAGCAAAACTCTGACAAATTTTGTAAAACTATTTTGAAGTATCAAAGTATCCAGTATTTTTTTTATATAAATCAAAATGACACAAAAGATAGAAACTATACATTAGAGCATGGTAAACATCGGAATACAAAGATAATGGTTTTTTGATTCAAGGGTTATATGTAAAATATCTTATAAAGCCGAAACCCCAAACTATTATTTTAGAAATAAGGTTTCGTGATAAACCATGGCACTGCCCGTTTTTTTGGTCCACATTTCTATAGAAATCTGTAAACTTTTTTTTTTCTCTTTTATGTAAGTAGTTCTAGCCAATAGGCTGTGGGGAATCAAACTTGTTGATTATCATTGCAAGTATTACAGAATGTTCTACGTGTTTACTGTAAATCGACTCGTGCTACTCATAAGTCTCACCTGATCCGTTAGTTTTGACATTCAGTATAAAAATGATAATTAAACTTAGGATTTTAAACTTTATACGGAGTCAGTAACAAAAAGGTTAAGAATTAACTGTGTGATGTTAATATCGATGCATTCATTTATACAGAGTCATACGTAATGGATAAAAGAGTGATTTTGATAACTGCAAGTGTTTTAGGAGTGTGAATAGTTCTGATAATTATCATATAATGTGTAAAGGTCTTTCTGTAAGGATAAGTTCACTTGTAATGCACAGAGACACGGGGTAAGTGTTGATTAGTGGAGTAAAAGACATTTTGATAAGGAGAAGTGAGTACGTAAGCATAATTGTAATTAAATTCATTTATTAAGGACATACTTACGATGATACAAACACTGTCTTGCACACCCGACTACCGTAATTAACTAGCTATCTTCTAATCTCATACACGTTAAACCAAAATAGCTAGTTATTTCCACGTTCACGAGCGTCAGCTGCATATCAACTAAATGTAGCCGTGTATCAGATATGATACTCATGCGTTTTAACATTATGTTCTATGAACCACCACGTGGTACACATGACAGGGTTAGGGTTAATTAAGTCACGTTTTTATCTTAAAAATTGAGAAAAATCATTAGTTATCTTCAAAATGCTGAATTTTTAAAATAGCGTGCGTCATACCCAAATTTTAGTAGTATCTAACGTTATGTATTATTATTCAGAATGCGGATTGATAACTTTACATGGTATGCCCTCAGAAGTAAAAGTATGATTAAAATCTGATTAAGCTACACATTTGGACCTTTACGTTAAACATCGCTTAATTTGTATACCCAATTAAACTATCCGATACTTAATTTGTATACCCAATTAAAATATCCGATACTTAAGTTGTATATCCAGTTAAATTATCCGATACTTAATTTGTATACCCAATTAAATTACCGATACTTAATTTGTATATCCAATTAAATTATCCGATACTTAATTTGTATACCCAGTTAAATTATCCGATACTTAAGTTGTATACCCAGTTAAATTATCCGATACTTAATTTGTATACCCAATTAAATTATCCGATACTTAATTTGTATACCCAATTAAATTATCCGATACTTAATTTGTATATCCAATTAAATTATCCGATACTTAATTTGTATACCCAATTAAATTATCCGATACTTAATTTGTATACCCAATTAAATTATCCGATAATTAATTTGTATACCCAATTAAATTATCCGATACTTTTTTTGCAAATTTCTCAACAACCTGAATTACAAATTGAAAATTAGAATTCGTTTTAAATATATGATTTCTAATTAGTAGGATAAATATGTTTGTAATAAAATAGTAACTAACGCTCACAAAAACAATATGTCAGTGTTAAAATCTTATGTAACTTCGAGATGTAAATATTAAGGATTAGAAGCACTTCGTGAAAGTGTGAAATCAACTTGATTGTATATAAACAAGCTTCTTCATGTTGTCCACTAAAGCAATGGTATAAGGATTAGAAGTATTGTTCGATTGTAAGTCTTCCTGAAAGTATGAAAATTAACTTGGTTGTATATAAACAAGCTTCTTCATGTTGTCCACTAAAGCAATGGTATAAGGATTAGAAGTATTGTTCGATTTTAAGTCTTCCTGAAAGTGTGAAATCAACTTGACTGTATATAAACAAGCTTCTTCATGTTGTACACCAAAGCAATGGTATAAGGATTAGAAGTATTGTTCTATTGTTGTATATAAACAAGCTTCTTCATGTTGTCCACTAAAGCAATGGTACAATCTTCAACTTAATATCTTCAATTTATTTAGTGCTTTCCAGTGAAAAATTCTTTTTGTGTCAGAACATCATGAAAAGTTTTACGTGAATGTTTATTGTATTATGTCCGAATATTATAGAAAGTTTTATCTGAATGTTTATTGTATTATGTCCGAATATTATAGAAAGTTTTATCTGAATGTTTATTGTATTATTTCAGAATATTATAGAAAGTTACGAAAGTTTTCAATAAGTTTTGTGACGAATTTGAACAGTTTAAACTGAGTGTCTGTTTAGTTTTGTGCAGAATGTTATTAAAAGTTTTAAATGAAGGTATATTACGTTTGGTGGCCGAATATTATTCAACGGTTCCGCTTGAATGTTTAATACAATTTAAAACTTGTGCCGTATCTTGATTAAAAAACCTCAACGATTTTAAGTAAGTATCTAACTCTTAAATTTCAATATTATCTTTAGGTGTCGCTACACTACATTTATGAAGATGTGTAATGTAAGAAAAAAATAGCACAAGGTAAACTGCAGTGTTTAGAGATGCACGGGACATAATCTCTTTTATAAGGGTAAGTCAAACGAAACGGTAAATATAATCATTATCAATTTGATTAGTTGTATTTTTATTGTGATCATTTAATTTCAAGAAATATAATTACCAATTTATTAGAATTAAATACTCGAGCAGTTAATTGTTTAGATATGCTCACAGCATTTGTTATTTTGGGGGAATAATTTATTAAGTTACGTTAATTTTTGCTTTGATTTTAGTTATATCATAAATGTTGTCCTTTTTTTATACCAATTATAAATTACGAAAATAAATCTCAGATGCTATTTTACATAACCTATTTACAAGTTCTAGAGTCTGACATTTTCAAAATCTTGTAAACTGTTTTCATTTCTTTATTCTATTTACACGCTTGATGGATTGCGGCCACCTACCGTCCAATTAAAGTAGTTGAGCCCGAATTATTTATGCAAATACGAAAAAATTAACTGTAGTCTATGAACATTAATAATAACGCCCTTAGGTTATTTCTGAAGAGAACCAATGAAAAAAGGATCGTAATTAAAAAAAACTACACAATGGTACATTATTAGAATAATATTTAAATTCATGTATTCTTATTTTTTTCTCAAACAGTAAACTAGTTTTACCGCAAGTAAGTTTTATGTTATTTACAATTGCGAGGCGCATAATTTCAAGTCTTTCATGATGTTTAAAGAAAGTAGTTGACGCATGTACTAAAACTAATGATTAAGCTTATTAAGTACAATGAAACTTCATTGTTATGTATGAAGAAAGGAACATAATTAGAATTTACAAGGAAGAATTTTTCTCCCAAGACACGTATTCCTCATTTAGCATTTATGCCTTAAGCCTGAAAATTACCCTAACGTCTCAGCAAATCCTATACGAAAAAAGGCTTTTGTGATTTGAGCTTTTGAAGTAAATGGTTCATTCATAAAATTTTTACGAACCAAGGGAATTCCCGTTTCAGAAGGAGATCAATTGTGCATTGTTTTTATGCATTAAGACGACGGCGTCTCCTGTCACTTGATATTCATGACCAGTTTTGTGTATTAATAACATGATCTGCCATGTTGATATCGTATCTCTCACTATACATTATATCACAATTATTTACACAGTGTATCAGCTTCAGGTGCTTATTTCAACAAGTTCGTTTATTCATCATCAGCATTTGCTCCTACTTCCTTCGTACAAAATACATTTTAAAAAAGAACAAAAATTGAAGAATCTTTACTTTAAATAATCAATATATATTTTTTTTATGTGATAGGGTAGTGATAAAACTATGTAAAATATTGATGAAACTTTGTTGAATGGGTAGTAACTGCCTGTTGTAGAAACACGAGTGTAGAGGATGACGTTTCGAAAGTCTTCCGCTTTTCGTCTTCAGGTCAATGTGTGTATAGGGTAGTCGGTCTGACCTGACCTGATCTGAAGACGAAAGGCCTAAGACTTTTGAAACGTCATTCTTTACACTTGTGTTTCTACAACAGGCAGTTGCCGTCTAATCAACAAAGTTTCATCACGAATACTCTACCTAAACAACCTATTAAGGAATGTGTAAGATATTACTGTTTGTTAAAGTTAAAAGACACCTTGTTGTAAAGCAGACTTCTTTATCCTACGAAGACTGTTATCTCTAGTAGTAATATTTGGATAATTACTGTTTGCTAAAGTTAAAAGACATCTTATTCTAAAGCAGACTTCTTTATCCTACGAAGACTGTTATCCCTGCTAGTAATATCTGGATAACTATATCATGGCTTTTTTTCTGTTTTTTTCAAAAACTTCAAACTTTAAGGTCACATAGGAACGCCCACTTAAATATTGTCTATTATTCTCAACATTACGTATCTTTTCAAATGTAATTCTTTAACTAAAACCAAATTAACTTATATTATTTCCTGACTTTGTTCATCTGTCTGTTTATCGAATTCTGTAAGATGAAAGAAAAGTTTTCAACAGTGTAAAAAAAAAAAATCATTCTTAATTTCTTTTTTTTTACTTCGAGTATAATTGTAAAAAAATTCGCTATTTTTCTTTAATCAACACCCGCTCCCAAATTTAGCCCATCTTAAAGTTGCTGTTGTTTCTATTACGAGCTCTAACAAATTTGATTTAATTGTATATTGTAAGGAAAACTAAACGAGTGTAATTTTGTTGAAGGAAGAAGGATTTGTAATAATGATAAGTTTCTACCTGAAGGTAAATATTTGATTTAATTATATATTGTAAGGAAAACTAAACGAGTGTAATTTTGTTGAAGGAAGAAGGATTTGTAATAATGATAAGTTTCTACCTGAAGGTAAATATTTGATTTAGTAGGAAGAATTTTCTCACTATATTATTGAACTATTTTCAGTAGGAAGACTTTTCTCACTATGTTATTGAACTATTTTCAGTAGGAAGACTTTTCTCACTATGTTCCTACTGAAAATAGTTCAATCTGAAAATAGTTCAATAAAATAAAGAGAAAAGTCTTTAGGAAGACTTTTCTCTTTATTTTATTGAACTATTTTCAGTAGGTAGACTTTTCTCACTATATTATTGAACTATTTTCAGTAGGAAGACTTTTATCACTATGTTATTGAAACATTTTCAGTAGGAAGACTTTTCTCATTATATTATTGAACTATTTTCAGTAGGAAGACTTTTATCACTATGTTATTAAACTATTTTCAGTAGGAAAACTTTTCTCATTATATTATTGAACTATTTTCAGTAGGTAGACTTTTCTCACTATAATTGTTGAACTGATTATTTTGTCCATTAGATTGATAGCTGGTCTGTGTTTATTTCTTATTTACAGTATGAAAACTGATGTCAAAGATCCCAAATAACCCACATCGACGAGACACAAAACCAGGTGATTCGTAGAGTGTTTCTAGCTTGTACAAAACAAATCTAAGTCTTTAGATTGATGTAAACTTCCCATATCAAAATAAATGTATTAAATGCGAGCTGATTTAAACAAAATAATAAAAGTTTCTATTAGAAAACCTATGGCTATGGTTAAATTATCATACGTATATAGTCGTCGGAACATATAAATTATACTGGGCAACATTTAATCATGTTCAAAAATTTGCAAAATCGTTTCCATAAAATGTTTAGATACCACTTACTTACCCCTTTTAAATCTTGCCATCTGTAGTCCGTTTCTGGCATCAGTTCGGCACAGGATATAACAGATTAATTACACGTACGAAAAACAATAATAAAGAATATCTGATCTTAATTAAAAGTTACATTTCATTAGGGCAACAGTTTTGTTGCTCTGATTTCACTGTTGACGATGTAAAAAGTTGAATGATATATAAACAATATTGTTAAGTGAAGCCATTCGTTGTTATCGTGAACAAAATTTGTATTGTCCCCCCCCCCAAAAAAAAACATTGTATTAAATCCTGTACCAAAACCAACAGGCTCGCATTATTTAGGTAACAATGATTCTAATAACAACAATTCAATAAATATGACATTAACCTTTCCAGCCTTATTTAACATTTTCACATTTAATTCTTTAGATTAGGCAATAGTATTTTACCAGATTGAATTATATTGCTTCATTGAGAACACGAGCTCCTTGTCTGTATATTAAACACTTACTAGATGAAGCACTTTTGACAACTATATAAATCAAGTTATACTGAAGCACGAATTGCATGTTGCAGGTAAAATCTATAACTATTTTATCATGCTATTGTTCAGTGACAGATCCTTATTTATAACTCTTAGGCTAAAATACGTCAGGCAGAATTAACATAAATCATCACTCAGTTTAATGTTTATTTACCTAGTACAGTGTTCATTGTATTTCATCAGGATTGAAAAACATTAAAATTAATTAATGAAAGGTAGATAATATTAAACAGAATTAACTTAGCTGACGTTATGATTGAAATAAACAATACAACAACATTATTAAAAATAAATTAAAAATCAGCTGACATTTTAATGCGAATTGTCTGAAATGAACAATACAGCAACATTGTTAACAGAAATACATTAGCTAACGCTTTTGACGCGGGTTTATTGAAACAAGCAATACAACAACATTGTTAACATCAATAAGTTAGCTAACGCTTTTGATGCGAATGGATTGAAACAAACAGTACAACAACATTGTTAACTTAAATAATTTAGCTAACGCTTTTAATGCGAGTTAACTGAAATAAACGATACAACAATGTGTTAACAAAAATAAGTGAGCTGGTATTTTCAAACGAATTGATTGAAACAAAAAGACAACAACGTTGCTAACAGAATTAAGCTAGCGACGTTTTCAAGCGAATTGATTGAAACAAAAAGACAACAACGTTGCTAACAGAATTAAGCTAGCGACGTTTTCAAGCGAATTGATTGAAATAAAAAAGAGAACAACGTTGCTAACAGAATTAAGCTAGCGACGTTTTCAAGCGAATTGATTGAAACAAAAAGACAACAACGTTGCTAACAGAATTAAGCTAGCAACGTTATCAAGCGAATTGATTGAAACAAAAAGACAACAACGTTGCTAACAGAATTAAGCTAGCAACGTTTTCAAGCGAATTGATTGAAACAGAAAGAGAACAACGTTGCTAACAGAATTAAGCTAGCAACGTTTTCAAGCGAATTGATTGAAACAGAAAGACAACAACGTTGCTAACAGAATTAAGCTAGCGACGTTATCAAGCGAATTGATTGAAATAAAAAATATATACTTTCACAGTCTTTTGCAAATTCTGTTTACGTCTATTTTTTTTTCACCTAGGGAATGTTGCATATTAACAATTAACAATTAACATTATTAGAGATTTTTAACTCAATATTGTAAAGAAAGAGTTGAAATATATATATTGTTGTTCTTAATGTGTTGTGGAGAAAGGAACAAATGAAAAAATTTCTTGATTATCAAAGAAACGAAAATTGTTTGGTTTTTGCTGTACCTCAATTATGGTCATAAATAAAATACTTTTTCTAATAAACATTATTTATATTTGTTACAGAGATAAACTATTCATTTATCGTGATGCATCCTTCAATATCAAGTCATAAGATATACAATTACATAAAGGGTAAATTGATTATCGCTTGCTATGCGTATTTGTGTTGTTCGCAAAGTTACAGCTACAGTTAGATACCCTGAATTAACTCATAAAAATACAAGTAAGATGCTTTAGTTGCCAAACCAGTACATATTTACATAGATTTAGAGAAGAAAAATTAATAATTTAGGCCAAAGCGATGTTTTAAACCACGTTTACTTACTAAGTATTTGAAATAACGGTATATGCTGTATATTGAACATGAACATCTGAATAATCATAACGCAGATGCGACCAAACTCTTGCTATGCGGAAAACAAAATATAATTTAGTTCATAAAATAAATGTTTAACGATGAGTTTAATATACAGTAAATAAAACTTTAGGCTTATTTAAATCACACGAACATTTAGGCTTATTTAAATTCAATGAACATATTATGTTTTTATAGAGATCTGTACAATAATATTTAAAGTGTGGTTTTACATTCTTTAAATTACCTATTCATAATTACAAATTATTAGATTAACTCTGAAATTATTATATATATATATATATACTACTGATACCTCTGTCATGCTTTCTTCTCGTCGCACATGTCGAAGGTCAAACATGGCCGCGGCCACTGACTTTTTCTGGTTTTCAAGCAACTTAATACGCGTAGAACAATATTTAAAGATAACTGCAATTTACTCAGTCAGTTCAGTTTTAAAAGGAACTTTTTTTTCTAACTAAACTTGTAACACATGTAATAGAAAAAAATATCATTAGTAACAGCTATGTTCTGGTGAAACTATTAACTTTTTTGTTCCAAAAATTGTATTTTAACAGCTTAGCATAAAAGAGTTTTTCCTGATAATTAACTTTTCTATAAAATTAAGTTCCGTGGAAATGATCTGGCATTTTTGAACTTTGACATTTTAACGAAAACGTTTCTGTTCGTTAAACCCAGTTAATCAATAGCGTGACGTGACGTCACCAATTCTAACAAAGAACATAGAACATTTATGGCCACTCCCATGAGAAACTATAACATCACCTTCTTCTGATGGCTTAATCGGTTTCAGCTCATGTAACCTGGTAGTGTACTTAGATATTCAGGCAACTGGTTTTTTAATTCAATAGAACAACACGAATGTAATCTAACAATAAGTACAATAATATAAAATGGGTAGTATCTCTTTAATATCCGAGATTTTACAAGTTCCCTTAAAATCCTGGGATAAAAAAAATCAAATCATATTGTTCAAAACACACAATAATAAACAATAGAATAGGACGTTTGTAACAACAGTCGTTTCGTGAAACTATCACGATGTGAACCGCAACTACTGTGGAGTACAATTAGACGAAGGAAATGTGGAAGTCTGGTACCTCGCCAAGAAGCGAAGAATCAAACAACGCTTAAAAAAAAAGACATCGAAACAGGTAGGTTAAAATAAACTAGCTTCTAAGATTAAGGATACTTGTATAATAGATAGTAGACCGCAGGATTTCTATTTTACTTCTACCCAAAAGAAGTTTTTGTTTTTTTTTAAACACACGTTCATGAAAGAAAAACCGATTTATTTCATAGCGACGTTTCGAGCATTTCAATCTGAAACCTGACGAAGAGCAGTTGCTTAAAAAGTACTGCTAAATAACACGACTTTTCTTAACTGGATGTGTGTTTAAATACAACAACTTATATATGTATAACTGAAACTGTCTGAAATAAGATGACTTTTCTTAACTGGACGTGTGTTTAAATACAACAACTTATATATATAAAACTGAAACTGTCTGAAATAACACGACTTTTCTTAACTGGATGTGTGTTTAAATAAAACATATATATATATAAAACTGAAACTGTCTGAAATAAGACGACTTTTCTTAACTGGACGTGTGTTTAAATACAACAACTTATATATATAAAACTGAAACTGTCTGAAATAACACGACTTTTCTTAACTGGACGTGTGTTTAAATACAACAACTTATATATATAACTGAAACTGTCTGAAATAACATGACTTTTCTTAACTGAACGTGTGTTTAAATACAACAACTTATATATATAACTGAAACTGTCTGAAATAA